CACTGCTGCACACACCCAAAGTTCTTTGCCTGGCAGCTTGAAGGGACTGCAGCTGTCCCTTCAAGCACATACCTCCTCCCTTCCCCTTATCCTGCCCCCCCCCCCACACTGTCTGACCTATCAATCACTCAACTATGTTCCTGGGGGTCTATTTGATGGGGGGGGGAATTTGGGGTTTGTCCATTCATTCTTTTGCTTAAAGCCTGCCTTTTTTCCCCACTGAGGGCTTGACAGATTTCAGGGGTAATCCCTAAAAAACCTAAACCCACAAGTTTTTAGATGAGAAGCAGCCACAGGAATCTGAGGTGTGTAGGAATTGAAATGTAAAGAGCAGGGCTGTTAATGCGATTAATGCTAATGTCCCTATTCAACAACCCCTAATTCGGGGTTCAGCCATTTCAGTGTTCTGCTCAGCACCTGCCTTTTTTCCCCACAGAGCGCATATCATAAGAAACCAGGTGTAGGGAGATTGCAGACATTTGTGACTGAGATATTACTCGGTGGTTCTGGTGCCTCAATGTCTGGCATAGCTCTTGATGTGCTAATGGGACCTATTCAAAAAGAGCATGGGGAGCTCACGCCCACACTTCTCCCCCAGCTTCTGCTGGATTGTGGGTGTTTGATGGGGTCTATTCATTGTTCCACTAAGCACTATTATCTGTAGCCCTGGGCAGATCATGGGTTTCTGGGGTCATTGGACACCCCACATTTTTAGAGGAGGCGTGGTTACAGGAACCTGAGGTGTGTAGGCATTGAAATGTAAAGAGTACGGCTGTTATAATGCTAATTAGCCTATTCAACAGCCCTACCTATTCAGCCCCCTTAGCACAAGCTTGGAGCAAAACAGTAACAGTTGTGTCCTGCCTAACAACCTGGCTTTGATGAATCCTGATAGAATCTGCAAGGAGAACCAGATGCTATTGGATGCCCTAGAGGCATCCAACCAGAGAATGGAGGCACTCAATGCAGATACTGCTACTGAACACAATGCAAGCTATAATGGACCTATAAGGGCACCAATGCAAGGTAGCAGCTTCTCAGCCCTTTCTATACCAGTCAATGGGCTGTGAGCTGGAATCAGAGAACTAAGAGGGAGCCGTGGATCTTGAGGCTGACGGGATTGTGGATCAATCTACAGAGCAACAATCACAAGATCTGGGCTCACGTGAGCAGCTCTGACTGGTGAGAGTGCATCATACTGTTGACTCAGGATGATCAACAGTGGCTTAAGAGCAGAGACACATTTGTGCACATAGTCACACTGTTGTCACTGCTCATTGAGCTCCAGGATACTGTCATACATCACCCCATTGCACCAGAAATGAGGGTGGCCATGACCATCATGAAATTGGCCACCCCCACCAGCCTCCTCTTCATCCTGGACCAGTTCAGCATGGGTCCCTGCACAGTCAGGGTGGCAATATGTGAGGCATGCCAGCTGCTGCAAGACATCACAGCAAACATTCTCATCTGTCTCTCTAACCCCAAGGAAGGTGAAGGCTTCAAGGCCATGGGGTCCCTAACTGCATGGGTGCATTGTCAGTACACACATCCCAGTTCTATCCCCATCCCAGGGGAGCTGGTCATTCACCAACAGGAAAGGATTTGCCTCAGTGATCCTCCAGGCCATAGCTGATCACTGAGGATGGTTCACTAACACTTATACAGGCTGGGCAGGCAGCATGCAAGATGTATGTGTCTTTCAAAACTTGCCACTGTCCGGCATGATGGCATAAGACAATATGCACCCAGGGTCCCCAGTGTAGTGATCTAGGGTGTTGATATGCCCCCACTTAACATAGTGGACATGACTTACCCCCTCCTTCCCTTGCTCATGAAGCCATATGGAGGACAAGTTACCGACCGACGAAAGACAGTATTCAGCTACTACCTTAGCAAATACTGAATGACTGTTGAATATGCCTTTGGCCATCTGAAAGCACGGTGGATGACACTGAACTACAGACTTGAGGTGGACCAGAAAACATTACGAGGTTCGTTGTGGTGCCTGCATGCTCCACAATATTTGTAATACCAGGGGGAAAGTATTCAACGAGTCCTGGTCTGAAGAAGTGTGGAAGGCAGTGGCCAGATAGATGTGGGCAGGCAGGGCATGGTGTCCCCCATCATCAGCATTCAAATGCTGATCAGGGGGCCATTGTGCAGAATTGCCTGGCCGCACACGTTCTGGCTGCTGCAGAAGGAGAGGGTCCTCTCTAGGCCACTGATCAATCAACACTGAATACTAAACCATTCAGCAGTTACCACTGAGTATTTCTATAAATAACATTGTCACGGCGGGGTCCTGCAAGAGGGCCATGTTTTCCTTAAGGCCCCCTCTCCGTGTCAAGTTGGCCCAAGGGCACCCTCTTTCTCGCCCGCCACGTCTTTGATGGTTTAAGTTGGTTGGGAGGCTGCCTTATGCCCTCTCAGACACATCTCTATGTTTATTCAGACCCCGTGGTTTTCCCGGACTCCTCGTTGATCTTGTCCTACAAATGAGTGCTTTGGGGCACCATAGCCTTATGGGCTATGTGTGGCTCCAACCACCCCTGATACCACGCCCCAAGCTTCACAGATGGAATCAACATTGAACTGTCACCATCTCTCTCTTGACATACACTGCCGCCCCCTCCTGGGGCTCTCCTCGCCCTCTCTCGGGGCCTCAACACGCCCGTACTGGGGCTTCTCTATAGTGCCCCCTCCTAGGGCTCGCCACGCCCACGCTAGGGCTTCTTAAAATGCTGCCCCCTTCCTGGGGCTCTCCGCGCCCACACTTGGGCTTCTCAAAAAGTGCCCCTCTCTAGGGCTCGGGTCTATACACCCCGTATGCTGCGCCCTCCTGGGCACCAGGGTCCTCATACTCCGCTGTGAGGCCCCTTTAAGGATACTGTGCCCTCACTAGCACCAGGGTCCCCACACCACTGTGGGTTCCCCCTGAGTACACTGCACCCTCACTGGTGCTGGGGCCCCCACACCACTGTGGGTCCTTATGAGGCCTCCTCCAACCCCTTATAGCCTCACCCAAACCACCGGTGTAAAACAACAAAATGATACAGAAACTCGAGCCTCCTGGCTATAACATAATGTAAAGCCGCCTGGCTAAACCACGCCCTAGAGCTGCCATCCATAACTCTGCTCAAGCAGTACCTGCGGGTCTCACTGCTTCTCGCATCCCCACTCCAGGAGTTCCTGCCTCTCTGGCTGCTGGCGGGGAACTGTTTCAGGTCTCTGCTCCTGGGCTTTATAAGAGTCAGGTTCTGCCTCCTACGGGCAGCTGACCGCTGGCAGGTGTGGGTCATTTGCTCCCTCCAGTTGCCCTGGCAACCCACAGGTGGGCTCCTATTCCCTGCTAGGGCTCTTTCTCTGGCAGTTTCTGCCCTCTAGGAGCAGGGCACTACAGTGCTCTGCGACAAACATTTTAAAAATTATTGCAACACTTCTGTCTGTCTCATAAGTACATTGTCTCTAGTTTTTGGGGGGCAGGGGGAGGCAGGCTGCAGTGATGGTGGGGAGAGGGAGTCAGAGAGGGCTGAAGTCTCCAGGTTTTCCTTTGCTTTGTGTGTAGGCGGGGTGAAATGCAGCAAAGACATTAAAATGCATTACTTACTGCTGGCCGCATTAACTTGATGCCCAATATGCACGCAAAGAAATAAGAAATTCAAAGGGTGCTGATTCATGTGCATATTATAAGTGCTCAGAGAATTTAAGCATCCTGTTTGGAGAAGGGGGAGGTGATAATGGAGCAGCTGTCTGCTCCTGTCTCTGCGGATGGAGATATGTCCAGTCAGAAGGCCAGGGTCTCTTGTTAGCTTTGGGGGGCAGCTTGGATGGTTGGTATGTGGATTTGAATTTGGCAGGCGGAGCATAGGGTACAGCCCAAGGCAATTGGGACTTGGGGGGCTATGGGAACAGAGACCCAAACAGAGATGTGTCTGGGAATGAAAGGGAAACATCAAACAAAACAATGACTCCTAACAGTGCAGGAATGTGAATACAAGGATGTGGGTGCAGAAAGGAAGGTTCCAGGCATATTCTGGGATTGGGACCCCCTGTGAGATAATGCAGGGAGCGCATTATCGGAGATCCAATTAGCTCACTACAACACTCCAATATACATGCAAAGATACATATAAGAAATTTATGGGGTGCAGATTTGTGAACATATTATAAGCACTCGGAGAATTTCAGCACCCTGTTCATAGGGATGGTTGTTTGAGTGAAATAAAAAAAAAAAGTGGATTTACACATGAAATAAAGTTTACTTGATGACATAGAAACAGGAAGATAAAAAATAAAATAAGAATAAAAATTAAAGATAGGAATGAAAATAATAAAATAAGAATAAAATAATTAAAATGTTGGTGTAAAAAAATTTAAAAATATGTGTAAAAATTAATGAAGTGACAATTAAATGAATGACCACCACTTTTGGTCATCTGTACGTATCAGTGAGCTATAGATATCACCAGTCTGTAGTGGGGATTAGCATTGTGTGGTGCCTCCTGCTGTAATTTAGTACAAAGAGACCAGTGGGGTGGATTGTTATGCAGTGCCCCCTGCAGTAATTTACTGCAGGGGGCCGCATGGAGCATTTAATGAGATTTAAGACCAATGACACATAAACAGCGATGGAAAAATAAAACCCACCGTTTCAATTTAGGGGGCATAGAAAGCCACCCTGAAGGACTAAACCCCTGTCACGTGTACAAGGACCCACCGATGCACAACAGCAACAGCTGTTGGTAAATATCTGTTGCAGGAATGAGAAGAAAGGGGAGAAAGAGAGCACATGCATGCAGCAAATATTCACAGGAATGAGAGAATGCACAAGCAGTAGACTGATTCACAGTTCTGTACTCAGGGCTGTAGGACAGGCATTCACTTCGGTGTAAGACTCTGAAATCAGTATAAGATTAGTCAACATACCTGCTCAAAGAACGTTTAGGCATGTGAGCACCAGGAGACGATACATAGACATGTTGGCTAAACTACATTTTTAATAGAAATGAAACTGCTTCCATCAATCCAAGCACCAGTTCTTAACATCAGCAATAATAACCTATATTGTTTTCCAGTCTCCCCACATCTTCACTCTTTTCTTGCTTCCTTTCCTGCACAGGTATTCTTTCTCCATCACCATGTTCTTGTGTTACTTCTCTGAAGTTCTGCTGCCCACCATTCCACATTCTGGCATTACAGTAAAATTTCCATGAATTCCACTATTTGAAGCATTATGACTCACACTGCAGTCTTTAACAATATTTTTAAAATACCAGTGTTTTTTTAATCACTCTTGAGATCCACAAAAGAAAGTAAGGATATTATCTTGCTAACTTACAGCTTTGGCTGTTGTTTCTTTTGCCACCCACACACTCGCATTTCTCTCCAAAGACTGAGCAGACGTATGGTACTGAAGCATGCCAGCATCTGACTTCACATTTCAGTCTTTTCCTTTAAAAAAAATGGATGGATGTTAACCGAGGACAGTACATGGACCTTTATTAAGGATAGTTTTATTAGAGACATAAAAGTTCTGTTGTACCATAAAACTGTCTGGGAAGTGCCAGATCAGAACATGAATTCATCATCATTCATCTGTGGCCTGTCTGATATTTCAGGGATAGATCAAAATGCACTGGCGCAAGGCTATGCACAAGGAGAGGGACATTCTTTTCTGTCTCCAGCAGTGGTCACATTAAGTCCTAAAGTACAGGGATTGGTTTCCTTTATTACAGCATAATTTAAAACTACAGGTGTTATTACTGATCATAAAATTATAATACTCTTTTAACTGCTTGAAAAGCTTTCCATTTTAAGGAGATGAAGGAAGTAAAAACATTCTTAATTTTGACAAATTATGGTCAATTCATCAGTTATTTTTTAGTCTAGACTTCAGTACTCTCCCCTTTCTTTTGTGCCTTGAGGGTGCAACTTTATTGCAGTACTGCTTTGCAGCTGGGACACACATTTCATTCTTCTGTATTGTTGTCTTCTCTATAGTCGTTCATGTGACACACTAAAAGGTTGTACCTTAAGGTAAGCATATGACTTTAGACAATAGGTGTTCAAGGTCCCTGAAGACAATGAGGTCCCTGAAGACAATAGTTATCTTATTTGCTTAGAGGCCAACTTTTGAGTAATCAGTTAATGCAGTTTGTAAATGCTGTAGGGAGATTAAGTTAGATAGTACATATACTATCAGTTCACTGGCATTACTGAATGCTAGATGAAAAAAATATCAGTGAGCTTCCCATTGCAGCTGATAGAAAGGTGAAAATAAACTTTCTTTAGAAAAGGGAGACTGAGGAGATTAATGCGATTTTTTTTTTGTTTTGTTTTGTTTTGTTTTTTGTTTTTTTTAATGTGAGCTTTTTCTGGGAAATTTGCTTGAAATTTGTTATTCTAACATGACTCAAAAAACCTCGAAACAGGTATCACTGAAGTACCAACTAGGAAGCTAATGCTAATGATTAGCATCACCCATGAATCATTCTAAACAGAGTTCAACAGATATTTTAAACGCATCTCAGACTCGTGCATGTGTTTATGCCTTGTCCATCTCAGCTTGGGCTTTCCTTTGCACTGCATATCTAGATATGAGGACCAAGCAGATTTCTACTGGCTAGTGACTGGCTCCATTGACTCAGAGGATTTTCATTTTCTACCCTCTTGTTCCTGAGTGTGGCCTGTGATGCACTGTTCCTTACAATAAGAATTCAGATTTACTCACATCATTGCATTCCCTCTGCAGTGTACTTCTGGGTTCACACCTTCTGGAATCTAGAAGATTTCAGTCACATCAACACCTGACCCACAGGCCTGCCTTTCCTGTGATTCAGTGCCTCCAGCAGAATATGTTAATTCTGCTGGACCAGAGCAGACTACCTCAGGTTTGGGGAAGCAATAACAATCAACTGATGCTAAACTAAAAATTAAACTAAACTGATGCAATTCTAAATCACTGTTTTTGCAACACAGCTGCCTACTGGTTCTCACATAAGCATTAAGAGCAGGTTTTGGTAGCACCATTTCAGTGAGTTCAGAGCAGGCGCATGGAACTCAAATGCCACTTACAAAATACATTTTCCAATGGAAAGCCGCCTAGCCTCGTGTGCAGCCTTACTGAGTCACCGGACCACACGTGGCCCGTGGGCTGTACTTTGAGCATGGTTTACAGCAAGCAGGAAAACAGGAGGCATGAGTTGCTGAACTTCTTAACAGAAGGTAGTGACAACAGCACAGGTTCTTTTATCTCCTGATTTAACACATTTTTCCACTATTTCATTGATACAAGAGGAAAAGAAAATGGAAACAGAGAAGGGATATACCAAGTAAAAGCTACCACGCTATACCAATTAAGACTGAATAAAAAAATTGAAAACTGATTTTTAAAATGAAAGCGCAGTTCAGCCTGTTCCCTGTTTACCTAGATTGGCCTTATGACTCCAGAGCACAGCTTGGTGGTCCGACGTAAGCAGGCCAAACAAATTCGAATGTCAAGTCAAAGCAAAAGTGAATCCACCTTTATAGCAGTTGCCTGCATATCACTGGAAAAGAAAACACCTGTGACACATAAGGGATCATGAGCAGACATGAAGGAAAAAAGTACACCCCTGTTTAGTGGACTGCATTAATGTTCATTTCCAGAAACTGAAATATTTTCTTCTCTTTTCTTTTTTTGCTTTACTTAAAAAAAAAAGGTCAACTTTATCAGCATCTTTTATGAATTCATATTTCTTTTATACACTGGCACTGACTTAGTTACAGAAATGAGGAAAGCATGTTACCTTGTTTGCTCTTTCCTATAAAATGTTACTCCCACCTCAATATTATATTATAACTGTCAACATAATAACTTGGAGTAAAATATTTGCAAGCACACATGTAGCTTTGATTCCTAAGGCTGTCTGAGCTGAAAAGCTTTTCTGACATAGCCATACCAGTTAGGTGGGTGAAGGAGGTGTGATTTTTACTGACATCACTTTGCTGGCAAATCCACAAACAGAATTCTACTAGTAATACTGCACTTTTGATAGTACAGGTTATGTTGTTTGGCGAATTTGTCTTTAAGCATAGCTGCATTCCTATTCAAAGCAATTCTCTCAGTTAGCTGTACCAGCAAAGCATTCTAGTGTAGACATAATCTAAATCCCATTTTCAAATGTGACCAAGATACTTAAGAGCAACACTGCTGAAAATTTAACTCAAATGTGTAAATTTGGTATGGATGTTAAAACCCCCAGTGCATACTTTCATTCAGAATTAAAGTTCAATTTAGCTGAATTCACTTCCAAAGAAAATTAAGCACAATGGAATCATACCTACTTTAGTTCTGAATAAGAGTCAACATGTGTCTAAAGGAGTGCTTAAAGAGTTTGTTTAGATTAATTTTCTTGAGTCTCCCTGGCAGACAAACCCTTAATCTCCTTGAAAGCCAGGAGAGCCCATGCTAAAATCATTTTGCAAATGGGAATTAGGAAATATTAACTAACTTATATAACAGCCTATTAAGTAAATAAATGATATATTCATATTGTATACATTTAAAAATTGTGGCAAAGAAGCTAAGTGACACCCAGAGAATTTGTCAAAAGTGTTGTTGAGACAGTTTTCCATCAAAAAAGCTATTTTAATTAAACCAAACATTTTTCACAAATGTTTTGGGAAAAACATCCTCAATGAGCATCGATGTCAGTGTCAATGAAAGTTTTTGTTTTCATAGATGCTAGGGTCGGAAGGGACCTCAATAGATCATCGAGTCCGACCCCCTGCATAGGAAGGAAAGAGTTCTGGGTTCAGATGACCCCAGCTAGATGCCTATCTAACCTCCTCTTGAAGACCCCCAGGGTAGGGGAGAGCACCACCTCCCTTGGGAGCCCATTCCAGACCTTGGCCACTCTCACTGTGAAGAAGTTCTTCCTAATATCTAGTCTAAATCTGCTCTCTGCTAGCTTGTGGCCATTATTTC